TCCCCGTCCCCCGCCCGGCCCGGCCCGGCCCGGTCCGGCCCGGTCGCAGCAGCCGCATGTCGGGGCCCGGGGCGCAGAGCCGCAGCCGGCGGCTGCCCGGTAAGTGCCGGCCGCGGGGTGGGCTCGGCGGGATGGGAGCGGGGCACCGCACCGGGCGGGCGGGCAGGGCTCGGGTGCCACATCCCTTCATCCTCCCCGCAGCGCCCACCTGATGCCCCTGGCAAAGCGGCTGTGCCTCACCTGCCGCCCCCGGAGCCTCCAGCCCCGGCCGCCCCGAGCCCCTCGCTGCACCAACGTGCTGCCGGCCCCGGGGCTGCCCGCGGAGCTCCGTGCCTGGGACGGGGATGCTCGGGGAGCGGGGCGATTTGAGGGACACCTGCTTGGCAAGTGGCAGAGCTAGGAAACCTGTTGGGTCGCGGGTTTGTTTTGGAGCGGCATCGGAGCGCCGTGGCTGCCGGAAGGAGCGGATCCCCCCGTGCCCGCAGGGCTGAGGATGCTGGGCACAGCAAACTCAGTGGCGAGCGGCGGGCGAGCGGCAGCCGGGGCAGCGGGGCTTGTAGAGGAGCAGCCTGCCAGGCACCGTGCCCGGGTTGTGCCTGCCGTGCCTCGGGCACCGTGCTGCTCGTTCTCATGCTTCTCCTCGCATGAAAGGAAGCAGGGCCCCGCAAATAGCAGGGTCTTATGACACAGCCTCTGCCGGGGAAGAGCTCCGGGCGGCAGGGAAGGATATTTTTAGTGCTGAGACGCAGGGGATTTGGAGATCGCTCGGAGGAGTGCAGGCGATGAAACCACGGCACACACAGGGGTTACGAGGTGCCGTGTCCTTTCTCTCCAGTCCCCCCTCCTGCTTTTCCCAGCAGGCAGCCCTGCCAAAACCACTGCCTCCCTCGCACTCGCCCGGTGCATTTCCTCTCATCGGGACTACGGTTATTTTTTGCTGTGCTGCAACACGAGGTCAGACGTGCCGATGGAGAACTGTGCAGGGCATTAACACTCAGGCAGCCGGTGCCTGAGCATCCCATCTCGGTGTGGCCTGACCCTGTGTGATTCTCTGGGCATTCCCAGCTCTCCTCGCCAGCCGCTTCTCCCAAGGCTGAAGGAGCTGAAAGCCCTTGGGAGTTATCCTTGTTCTGCAGGGGTTATGCTGGGGCAGGGTGACAGGGAAAGGCTTGCCATCTCTGCACAGCCTCCCAGAAGATGCCGAGGCAGCTGAGGAGCTGCACTGCCCCCCACCCATCTCCTAGCAGACCTGTTTTTTGGCGGGGGAAGGTGCATTCTGGCAAGTTGGAAGCAGTGGGGCATACTGGACTTCTCTGGAGGAGCAGAGCCAGGGGTTTGGGCTCCAGAAAGGCTCAGGGAGAAGGGCAAAAGCCAGCTTACTCCAACCTTTTCATTCATCAGAGAACTGACCCATGCTTGGAGCCACCTCCACTTAAACTCTGCTCATCTTGCCAGCACCTGCTGCTCCTTTCCACAGCCCGTATTATTTTTCAGGACCTTCTTTAAATCCCTCGAAATCTCTGCAAGATATTGCAGAGCTGTGGCCTCGAGAAAAGGCCATTCCCATCCTTTCTTGGCCTTGTGCCTTCAGTAACAATCCTTCTCCCAACCCAAACACACCCCTCCTATTTACCGGCACAGAGGGGTGTGCCGTGATCCCGATGGCTGTAAGGGTTGAAAAGCACATTCCCTCCCAGCAGAAAGGCAGCTGGGTCTGAGTACACCCTGAGCTGCTACTCTCAGCACCCTGCAGCTCTGTCTGACCCCTGCTCCATCCAAACTGCATCCAGGGGTTGCTCCTCTCCCAAGCCTGCTTTGGCGAAGGTGTGGATGGGAGAGCTGACAGAGTTTTGCCTCCCAACCCTCCCACGCTTTTCCCCACCACAGCGTGGCCACGAGCCCACACAACGCGAGGGGTGGTGGCTCTTTGGTGTGCCCTGGCAGGGCAGAGGGACCACCGGGGCCATCGTCCTCGCCCTCAGCCCACCCTGCGGCATCTGCCTAGCAGCAGGTGAGAGGAAATCCCTGCGGGGAATCCTGCCCTGTCCTGCCCGCCCAAACTCTGCAGCAGCGTTTGGCCCCGGTTCGTGTCCAAGCAGCGCTGGAACAAGCCGTGAGAGCCGGAAGGATCTGAAGGCAGCCGCGCTGGGCGGTTCAGGCAGCGGGGCAGAGCCTGGCTCTGAATGCTGATCAGCCTCCCGCCCCTCGGCTCAGCGGGCTGGAGTAATAACCATGACAATAGCAATAAAAGCCAGGCCACCAGCAGGTACCGACAGATCCCCCACGGTGCACAGGGGCCGCATTGTGTGTGCTAACGTGTCCCGCGGTGGGAACATGCCAGCGGGATGAGACAATCCCCGCGCCTGGCAGCCGCGGAGTGTGACCGGCCGTCACATGGAAGGGCCGCGGCAGGGAACGCCGCGCTCCTTTATTTCCCCGGCGAGGGTTGCCGAGGGGCAGCCACACTGGCAGGGCTGTTCGCTCGCCCTGGGCCCGGAAGAGCCGTGCGAGGGGGGAAGGCTCCATCCCCGACTCTCACCGCGGTCACGGGTCAGGCAGGGCCAAGCACAGCCCCAGCTGCTGTCTCCCGCTGCCGGCGTTCCTTACATAATGGGATCTCAGTGCTCGTGCCCAACTCCCCGACCAGAGCTCGAAAACAAGTTCATAAACAGGTCCTGCTAATTTCTCCCTCAAGAGAAACCGTGGCGCCCACAGGAATGCTGCCACCAGCAGCCGTCATCACTCTCCCCGAGCACACTTACTCCGAGTATCGGTCATGTGCCGGGAGAGCATGAGCAGCCGGGTCAGCCGCATTCATGGCACCCGGGACAGCACCCAAGAGCACTCTGGTTTATTTTGTATTTGCACTGCAGAAGGATTTGGACACTGGTCCTTACCTCCACACTGAGGTCCCTTTGGCGGGACGTCCCGTGGAGAGCTGGTCTGTCACCCTGAATCCTGGAGCCAGCCCAGCCTCTGTCCTGAGCCCAGCCTCTGCACAGCTGGAGCCCGATGGGCTCTCCTCGGTGTGGTGAACCGCGGCAGTTTGCCATGGATTCAGCACAGCTGGGCCGGGGAGCACAGCTCTGCCTGGGACAGCCAGCTGCTGAAGGGAGACAGCTCCATAATCAGTGCCTTGATCACCCCCTCCTTGTCCCTGGCCTCACTCTGTTCTGCAGATGGCACAGGGAGGCTGGAGGTTTTTGCTGTACCCCAGCAGCACCAGGCTGCAGCCACCTGTGAGTCGGCTTTCCCAGGAGGAAAGGTTCACTGGCACCACCATCCTGGGCCCTGCACTGAGGCTCAGCACCAGAGCAGGCACCAGTGCTTTGGTCAGACATGCCAAGGCAAAGAGCCCTTCAGGCAGCCTGGACTGCTGCCCCAGGCATTGCAGGAAGACGCTGAGCAGCCAGAAGAGGACCAGAGCCTCTTCAAGAGTTCGTGGTGAGTCGCCCTGAGTCACGGTGTATCCCCACGTGGTTCTGCCAGCACAGCCCAGCCCGCAGGACTCTTCAAGAGTTCGTGGTGAGTCGCCCTGAGTCACGGTGTATCCCCACAGCCCAGCCTGCCGGGGCAGCACCTGCAGATGATGGGGTTTCACTGAAGGATGCCCAGAAAGAGGATGCAGAGAAGCCCTGGAGGAGCTCTCAGGAAGATGTGACATTGATCTCCATGACATCTCACCAGGCTCAGCACCTTTCTCCAGTGTGTTTCCTGTGCTGCTCCGTGCTGCTGGCAGCCAGCTCCTCTGCTGTCCTTGCCCCTATTCCTGCCAGACAGGGTGGGAATGCTGCTCCCTCTGTTCCTCCTCCCCAGCCTGGAGGAGCAGAGGGTTTAGGTTCTGCTCAGGCAGAGCACAGGATGTTTGTTTGGTTTCCTTGGTTATTACACTGCCTGCTCCAATAATCACATTTTCCTTGTGCCGGTTGGGCCAAGTGCAGCAGAAAGGAAATGTGGAATGGCTGAGGTCAAACACCAGCCTGGGAACAGCTGGGGCCACCAGCCACAGCCTCTCTGTGCCACTTGGGTCCTTGCTATTTTGGGTACCCAGCCCAAAAGGAAGTTACAAAGACCGGGGATGCAGCAACAAGTTCCTTCAACAACAGCCCAAGGGCTCCCATCACTCCCTCCCGTGAGCTGGGGACACAAGCACCGGCAGTGAACTGCTTGAGGAATTACAGGAATGAAAATGTTTGTGCAGGCAGAAGCCAAGCTGGCTGTGAGCGGGGATGTGAGAGGGAGCCTGGAGCGTGGGTGCGGCTGCATTTATAGTGACGGTGGTGGCGGGGGCGTGACAGGCAGGGCTGTGCACGGGCAGCGGTGACAGGGTTGCCAGTTCCTTTCATTGCTTATACATCCTTCGGCCCAGAAAGCCTGGAGCACTAAGGCCAGCTCTTGACCCTGGGAGTTCCCCTGCTCGTTAGCATTCACAGACAGCCCTCTGTTTGGTAGCAGGGAAACTGAAACTTGAAAGTGTGCAAACCGCGGCTGATCTCACACCAGCTCCCCTTCCCCCTTGAGAACTCCCTTCAGCAGCTGTGAGCACAGCGGATGAGCTCCCCATTCTGGCTGCCCTGCACCTCAGGGGAGGGATCTGAGGCTCCAGCACAGCAAGTGCTGGTGATGCTGCTGCTCTGGTGTGTCACATCTCTCCACGGTGACTAGATCAATGTGTGCTGGTAAAGCAGAGCAGAAGGGAACCACCAACCGTGCAGCACAGCCATGCAGGGTGAGCCGGGACAGGCAGAAGGGCTCCGACAGCCCTGCCTGCTCCAACTCTCCTCACCTTTCTCCCCAGCTGAGATGGAGCAGGCCCAGCGGAACCTGGATGCAGAGCAGATGCAGCAGCAGCAGCTGAAACTGCGGGACAGGCAGAAGTTCTTTGAGGAGGTTTTCCAGCATGATGTGGATTTCTTCTTCCCCATGTCTCACCTGCAGATTGAGCACCGGAGACGTACGTGCTGTGGGCACCAGCACGGGGCTGGGGGGTTTCAGGAACAGTGACACAGGGGTTGGAGATTGGTGGGACATCCCCAGTCCAAACAGGACACCCATGTCCTGAACCAAGATGGGACCACAGTGGGTGTGTGGGTGTGCTGTGGGTTACTCACACCCCTCCACTGAAGGCACATGGGTACCCAAGCTGGTGCCCTGTAGTGCCTGGCTTTGGGCAGGCTACATTTTGGAGCAGGCACAAGGACTGCAGTGACACAGCAGGGGCTTCCAGAGGGATGTTTTAAGGAAACATGATTTTCCTGGGGCCTCTTACCAGCAAGTAGAATTCAGTTCTTTGTGTCAAGGGTGGTCTCCCACCTCAGGGTCCTGCCTGCACGGAGCTGATTGTGCCTTTTGCCTGGCACTATCACTCACCTTTTCACTGGCCTCTGTCTCTGCAGCCCCCTTAGGCAGCATCTCCTCCATGGAGGTGAACGTGGACATGCTGGAGCAGATGGATGTGCTGGACCTGTCAGACCAGGACACTGTGGATGTGTTTCTGGGCTGTGGGACAGAGGAGAGCAGCATTGCTGGGTCTCTGCCAGGTATGTGCAGTCCCAAGCCCTTTGTGGGCCAGCCTGGAAGCCCTTCCTGCCTCCAGTGCCCACACTGGCTCATTCCTCAGCCCCAGCCACCCTGTGGGCAGATCCATACCCACCCAAAGGCAGATATTGGTGCTGGGTTTGTGAAGTTGGAGGGACCTCATACGGGGCTGTTCCACATCAGTATTCACCTCCTCAGCCCAGACATACAGACCCTTGTAAATTCCTTGTGCTGCAGAGGACAGAAGAGGCCAGGCACCTTCCAGAGTGTGAGTCAAATTCCCTTGTCCTGAAGCCTCTCTGGAGCAGCCAGTGCCTTGTCACAACTCCCAAGGTCCCCTCCATGCTGCAGAGCTCATTGTGCTGAGCAGGAAGGCTGCAGAACCAGGAGCTGGGCTGGGGTCTGCAGGGAAAGCAAGGGGTTCCAGCACATTCCTCCCCACTCACACACTGTAGTGAGGTCAAACCAAAGGTCTCCTTGCCTGCTGCAGCCAACAGCCTCACACAGCGTGGCTCTGGGCCGTGTTTCAGGCAAGATGGAAGAGGCTCCACTGCCAAAAACGGGGAAGGGATGTGCAGCAACTGCCCTGAGCCAAGCCGGGGGTGTGAGGTGGGGAATGGCTGCAGCAGCCACACGGGGAGCCGTCAGGAATGCACAGCCCACTGAGGAGTGAGGCTCGGAGGGGCCATCCATGAAGCTTAGGCAGCAATAAACCTCCAAGAGCCTTTTTCATTCTCACACTGCTCTCTTCTCCAGGGGCAGATGCCAGTCAGTGCCCTGAGGAGATCACCCTGCCAGTGCCCAACGCAGCTGAGAGCAAGTCTCGCATTTCCTCCACGTCCTCTGCCTCCACGGATTTGAACAGCCTGGACACCAGCGAGGAGGGGGCCGAGACCCCCGTGGTGCAGTCGGATGAGGAGGACCTGCAGGAGGACAGTCCCAAAGAGCAGGTGGTGAGAAGCTAGCAGGCAGCTCTGCCCTGCTCCCAGCCTCCTCCCTACGGACTCACCAGCCCAGAAGGAAAGCGGCTGGTGCTCAGTTAACCCCACCCTGGACTGCTGCCCTGCCAGAGGGGAGAGATGGTTTTCCCCTCCTCTCCCTCCATGTGTTCTCCTGGCAGCTAAAGGAGAAGGAAAGGGGTACTGTAAGCTCCCAAAATTAACTCTTCAGGCTTTGCTGCTAACACTCCCTGCTTCACTCCCCCACTCCCCAACATGCCCAGCATCCCACAGCCCCACCACCTCCAGAAAGCCATCCCTTGGGATCCCAGTTCCCCCTGCCCTACTGACAAAGGTTCTGTCCAGACAAGCACTTAACGACGGCACAGAGAGAAATAACACTGGTCTAACCAAGCAGTGGGTGTGTGTGTCATTGGGGGAAAACAGCATGGGGGATGGGGGTTCAGGGGGGATTGCAGGAGGGAGAGCAGTGCAAAGCCACGCTGCTCACTGTGCCATGCAGGAGCAGATGAAGCCTCCTGTTGCACAGCCCAGGGCTGGCTCCTGTGCCCAGGCAGGAACAGACAGCACAGGCCTTGGCAGGGAAGGGCTGCAGGGCACAATGGGGAGCAACTCAGGCTCTGCAGAGAGAGGCAGCACAGACAGAATCACAGAAACACAGAATAATGAGGTTGGAAGAGACCTCTAAGATCACGGAGTCCAACCTATGCCCTAACACCTCAACTGGACTACAGCACCAAGTGCCATGTCCAGTCTTTTTTTAAACACATCCAGAGATGGTGATTCCACCACCTCCCTGGGGAGAGCATTCCAGTACTTTATTATTCTTTTGGTGAAAAATTTTTCCTAATATCCAACCCATACCTTCCCTGATGTAGCTTGAGACACAGCTGGCTGAGCAGGGGCTGCTCGTGACCTGGAGCCACCAGCCAGGAGCACAGTGGGGACTTGCCACGCAGATGGGCTGAGCAGAGAGCACCAGCAGCTGCTCCCCTCTGCTGCTCCACAGCAGCGGAGGGAGCACCACCAACACGAGGCCACTTTACAGCCCTTGGTCCAAAGCTGGGCACAAAGCTGGCCACAGGCCCCTTCATCAGTGGCTGCAGGCCAGGAAAGCGCTGTCCTTGCCCCTGCATCAGCACAGCCGCGGTCACCACGGGGAAAGGAGCCTGGCAGATAAGCAACAGAAGCCAGGGAATGCTCCTCATCCTGGCTGCTTCCCAGGGGGTGTTGAGACATGGCTGCACTGTTCCTGTGTCAACCAGCCCTTTGTGGGACCAGCTGGAGTGCTCTGTATCTGAGTGCAGCAGAAATGTGTTGCATGTGCTGCCTTAAGCTGGGAAATCGATCAAGAGAAAAGGGCCAGGCTTCATGACTTTTCAGGCTGTAGCACAGGGACTTCTCTATCTAGGTATAGGGTCATTAACAGCTCTGGATGGATGTTTTTACCTTTTATTTGGCTGATCACTTCCAACATGCATCTAAACCTTTATTATCTACCAGTATCCCGTTGCAAGGAGTTGCCCAGTGTAAAAAATACCCAAACCAACAACAGTATGTAAATATGACCTTTTTTTTTTTTTTCCTGGACATGTTGACTTTCTGGTTTTATGTGATGTTAGTAATTGGCAAGAGGGGGAAAAAGAGATAGAAAGTAACTCCTTATTCTTCACAAATACTGAATCACACTGTCAGTTCCAAGTTAACCTTGCATGAGGACCTTAGATCTTAGCAAGTGGGTAATGAACAAGGTATAGCAGCTGGTAAGTGGAAACCACACGTTGCTATGATTTTAATGCTTATTTCCTACTGGAACAAATCACCACCACGGGGAGAACAGGAGATGCTGTGAGCCCCGTCGGACCGTCACTGCCTTGCCGTGCCTGCGTTCCCTCCCCCGGGGGCGGCCCCGGCTGGCGGCTGTGGACGCGGGGCGCTCCCGGAGCTCTGCAGCCGGAGACAGGCGCTGCCCTGCGGGAGGGACACGAGGAGCGGAGCAGTGGAAGGCACCTGGGGACAGGCACAGCCCTCGCAGCGTCCTGCGCACCGCCAGCCCCGCGGGGAGCCAGCCAAGCTGGGAGGGCGCCAGGGCTTCCCTGCAGCCCCGATTTCAGAGCGGCGGAAGGGAGCCCTCGGAGAGCCGCCCACCCCTCTCAAACAGCAGAGCTGGCGCGATCATCCCCGTGGGTCCTTTCCGCGGAATATTCTGCGGTTCTGCGAAAGCGCTGGCGCTCGCTGCTGGGCCGGGGCAGGCGCAGGCACAGCCGGGCTGGCGCTGCTCCCGCGGAGGCTGAGGGCTCGCTCCGTGCGGCAGCTCCCGGTGCCAGGCCGGGACAGCCCGCGGCCCGGCCGCACACAGCGTCTCCATGGCACCCCCGGAAGCGGCGCCATTGGCGGCGCCGGCGGAAGCGGCCGGGCCCCGGGCGGGCGGACTCGGGGCAGGAGCGGCGGGACGCGCTGCGGGAGGAGCTGCTGCTGAGCCCGCTGCCCACCGGCGATGTGGCCGCCACCTTCCAGTTCCGCACGCGCTGGGACGCGGACCTGCAGCGGGGCGCAGGTAGGGCGGGCCCGGCCGGGGCGGACCGCGCCGCTATTGGCTGGCGCGGGGGCGGACCGCGCTGCTATTGGTTGAAGCGGTGCGCAGGGGCGGGGCTATCGCGGAGGGACCACGCGACGTGATGGTTTGCCTCGAGCGATGACGTCACGGGCTCGAGTGACGTCAGAGCGGGGTGAGGGGAGCAGGGACAGGGCAGAGCTGTGGGCACGGAGCGGTGACATCACACGGGGCCGTGACGCCAGCGGGCCGCGTGTGGTGGCGCAAGCCTTGGCAGTGTCGGGTGAGGTCAGGGTGCGGCAGGCCCTGGTGTGGGGTCGGGGCGCGAGGGGCAGGACTAACGCTGCCCACAGTCTCTCACTACAGGCTCTTCCCCAAGGCGCTGGGGCGGCTGGTGGCAGCGCTGGGCGTGCGGGAGCTCCACCTCGCGCTCACCCAGGGCTTCTGGCGCACCCGCTACTGGGGGCAGCCGCCCCTGCAGGCACCCGCTGGCGCTGAGCTCTGGGTCTGGTTCCAGCCCACGGTCACCGAGTAGGTACCCCAGCCATGCATCTGTCCCTCTGGGTCCCCTCCGTGCCCACTGCTCCAGGAGCTGTTGTTTGTCTCTCCTGAGGCAGCCACGGTGTGTAAGCAGGCCTCCTGGGTTGAAAAATGTCTGCTGGAAAGAAGAGCCCAGGAGTAACTCTAAAAACCCACAGAACATGCCCTCTGTTCACAGGACAGGATGTGGTGCTGAGGGCAAATGCTTGTTCACTAGAGGCCCAAGTAATTCCCCTGTGGGCTCTGTGATGACAAGCACTTCATGATGCACAGAGAGAAATAACACTGATCTAACCAAGCAGTGGGTGTGTGTGTCATTGGGGGAAAACAGCACGGGGGATGAGGGTTCAGAGTGGATTGCAGGACCGCTTGCTGCGCTAATACAGTGGGGCTGTATCTTGACCTCTCACCCATGACTCACTTCCTTTGACTCCCATCCAATACCTGTCACCATCTCCCCTAGCACACCACCCCTGTTCAAGCTGCAGCAGCCCTGTGGGGACTCACAGAGCTCTCTCCTCCCTGCAAGTGTCCCATCTCTTGTCTGCTGCACCAAGGCATTGCTCTGGGTCTCACAGCCCCTTCCCCATTCACACACGTCACCTCCTGTGTGCTCCTTGCTCCCCTGGCCTCTCTCCTCACATATCAGCTGTGCCCACCGCCATGTCCCTTGGCTGTGTGATGCCTGTGAGTCCTTGCTGCGTGTCCCTGCTGTGTGTCCCCCAAATCTGATGTGTCAGAATAAAATACCAAGGGAGCTGGGGTGTGCCAGCCCAGCAGTCTCTCTGCACGCTCCATGCAGCTTTGGTAGCCCAGTGTGGTCACTCCACTGTATTTTCTGAATGTTACTGACTTAACACTTGTTGTTTCAAGGATCTGAGCTGCTGAGTAATCTCTGGTGTCTGTTCTCACACAGTGTTGACAAAGCCTGGAAAGAACTGAGTAACATCCTTTCGGGAATATTCTGTGCTTCTCTCAACTTCATTGACTCGACCAACACAGTGATTCCAACAGCATCCTTCAAACCCCTGGGTTTAGCCAATGGTGAGCCTGGCTCTGCTCTCTCACTCTTGCTTTTCACTTTAGTTCTGCCCCATGCCACTGCCAGCATTCCAGGTGCAGGTCCTGCAACGACTCTGGGTCTGGGTGTGTACAACAGCATCTGTTAACCTCTTCCTGGAAGGATTTCCTCTCCCTACAAACAAGGCTTGGAATTAAACAGAGGAAACTCAAAAATAATACATGGCTGATGCTCCCAGGCCCTTATATATCTCTATGAAAAGTGTTTTACAAAACAGTGAGGATTACAGGGTTTAAGGCACTCACAAAGAAAGATCTGCTAGGATGTATCCTTACCCATTCTTTGCAATCACTCTGAACAGAGTGGGGTCTGCTTCTGGTGGAGCTCAAGGCATTTCAGGCATACTGAGAGCATGGTGGGGTACACTGGGGGTGTAGCAGCTCTGCTGCTGTGCTCATGCCTGTAGCAGTCCCAGCCTGCTCTCCTCCCTCTCCCTGCCCAGGGACAGATCACCATCTCCTGCGTTACGCTGTCCTGCCCCGGGAAGTCGTCTGCACAGAGAACCTCACCCCCTGGAAGAAGCTGCTGCCATGTGGCTCAAAGGTAGAGACAAGTCCTGCTGGCCAGTTGGGCCACTCCTGATGGAGCTGGGCTCCCAGCAGCAATCTGGGAGCATGCACTGGGAGGTTCCCTCAGGGCCTTCCTCTCGGTGGGAGCAGAGGACAGGGCAGGGGCTGAGTTTCTCCTGTGTTCCCTGCAGGCCGGGCTGGCTGTGCTGCTGAAGGCTGAGCGCTTGTTCCACAGCAGCTACCACTCCCAGGCAGTGCACATCCGCCCCATCTGCAGGGTAAGTGCTGGGCTCAGCTCCCTCCCTGAGCACCCCAAGAGAAAATCCAAAGCCCTCTTGTCACACCACAAGGTATCACACTGGTTTGCCCAGCTACCCTGTGATGGGTTCAACTGTCTAACACAGTTGTCATCCTGCTTCTGTGGTAACCCCAGCTGAAATCTTGCAGTCCTCCTGGAGTTCCAGCTCCATCCTGGTGTCCTCCCCCTCCAGAAGGTGTGATCAGAGATGCTTTTCTCTGTCTTGTCCAGGATGCCTCCTGCCTGGCTGTGTCCTGGGAGCTCAGACAGACCCTCACTGTGGTCTTTGACTTCTTTTCCAGTGGCCAGGGAAAGAAAGGTAAGCATGGTGGCTGTTCTCGAGTGCTCCCAGCCTGCAGCACTTGACCTGCCACCTGACCTTGCTTCCCACAGACTGGTCCCTCTTTAAGATGTTCTCTCGCACGCTGACTGACACGTGTCCTCTGGCCTCGCAGAGCAAAGTCTATGTTGACATTTCCCCTAAGAACAAGGTAAACTCATGGGCCTGAAAGCATGCCCTGCTCCCTCAGTTCAGCCACTTCATGTGGCTCTGAAACATCCTCACCTCCATCCTCTGCATGGCCTGGCTCTCAGGGGCTAACAAAGGGAGGTGATTTCCTTGCTCTGAGCAGGGCTGAGGGGATGAGCCTGGTGGTGTTAGCAGGAGCACAGAGCTGGCTGTTGGGTGGCAAAGCTCAGGGCTATCTGGAGGGACTTTGTCAGTGCTGCCAGTTTCTTCAAAAGGGGCACTTTTTCCTTTCATGGTCCATTTGCTTTCCTCAGGAAAAGGAGCTACTGGAAGTGTCCCCCCCTCCAACATCAGTACATGAAGCTGTTGTCCAGGGAGACAAGAAAACCTATGCTGTGTATGACCTGCTGAGCCCCTCGCTCTTCAACACATCTCGCAGCCTCAATGTGCAGCTGAAGTGGAAGCGGCCCCAAGACAGCTGTGAGTGAGCAGAACTTCACTTCATCTGCACCACTGGCCGGGGCTCCAGGGCTGACAATCACCCCACTGCTGTCCTTCCTCTTCCACAGCGGAAATGCCCATCCCCACTCTCCATGCTCAGCGGTACGTGGGGGGGTACGGGCTGCAGACCGGGCAGATCTGCACCCTCATCTACAACACCCACCCCTACCGAGCGTTCCCCGTGATCCTGCTGGAGACTGTGCCCTGGTACCTGCGGCTCTACGTGCACACCCTGACTATCATCACCAAAGGGAAGGAAAACAAGCCCAGTGAGTGAATCCCCAAGCAGCACGTGCCACCCGATTCCCTTGGCATGAGCAGCTCGTTCCAAAGATGGTGTAGTCTCTCCCTCAGGCCCCAGTGGTCACTGGGAAACTGGATTGTGAAACAAAACATTTTAGGATGTTTTCCTAACCCTAGGTTCAGTGCTCACAACAGATGAGAGCATTAAGTCTGTTTTTTTTTATGAGGCACATGGATAGTGTTTCATAATCCAATAAGGGTTTAAACCAACATGAATTAATTTTTGTAGCATAGGAAGCTCAATTTAAAACTGATGATTGGATTTTATTTTGCATTTATACCTTTCCTTATGAATACCTGACTGTCATGGGTCAGTAGCTTTTTGCTATGGGTGCATCTTCACTTGCCCAGAAAACCTCTCTCAGGACAGTGGAAGCAGGAGCACCCACCTCATGGGAGATGTCCAGGCAATATGAGATTGGACAAGGTTCCCTGGTGCCATTGTGGAAATCTCTTTGGGGTTAGGTTACATCCACTACCAGCCAGCCCAGGACCGGAGACGGCCTCACCTCTTGGAAATGCTGATCCAGCTGCCAGCCAACTCTGTCACAAAGATCACAATCCAGTTTGAGAGGGCCTTACTGAAGTGGACAGAGTACCCACCTGACCCCAATCACGGCTTTTATGTCGGGTAATGACATTCCCCAGCTCCTCATCCCTATCTGGGCTTTGCATAGGACTTACTGCCCAGGTCTCTGGAGATGTCTTTGCTGCCAGGACTGACACTGGCATGTTCTTTGTCCCCTTAGTTCATCTGTGCTCAGTGCCCTGGTGCCCAGTGTCACTGCAATGAAGGACATGGATGTGGAGCAGAGCCCTCTCTTCACCTCGCTGTGAGTGTGCTCGTGCTGGGGAGCAGGGCTGTGGCTGCTCTCATCCTCTCTGGTGAGCACAAAGCACTGGTTCTGACCTTGCCTTTCCTGCTTCCACTCTCCAGGTTTCCTTCCTCCGATGGCTCCAGCTATTTTGTGCGCCTGTACACGGAGCCACTGCTGGTGAACCTGCCAACACCAGACTTCAGCATGCCCTACAACGTCATCTGCCTCACCTGCACCGTGGTGGCCGTGTGCTACGGCTCCTTCTACAACCTGCTGACCAGAACGTTCCACGTGGAGGAGCCCAGCCGGGGCGGGCTGGCCAAGCGGCTGGCCAACGTCATCCGAAAATTCAGGGGGGTGCCCCCACTCTGAGAGGGGCCAGGGCAGCCAGCACTGCCTGCAGGGCTCTGTGGGGAGACAGACAGCAGAGCACTGCTGCCTCTTGTCTTGCTGGAAGCAGCTTGTTTCGTTTTGCTGCCAGGAATTCTCTTTGGGATCCAATAAGCTGAGAGATCACTTCCATTGCTAAGATGGGAAATGGCTCTAAGCCCATTGACTACTGAACTGCACTGCTGTGGGACGGGGAAAAGTAAAAGACTTCTGTTTGGGAGAGGTGTAACTTACATGCTGGGAATGGTGCTGGAAGTAAACTGGAGTGTTTTGTACATCTGTGCTGCTCCTGGTTGGTTTTGCTTTCTTGGCTCATGGGCAGAGTTGACCCTCTAAGACTGTGAGCTGCCAACTCTGTAGCACACTGCCTGGATCATCTGGGATTTGATGCAGGCAGGACCAGGCAAGGGGGTTTGATCTGCAGAAAAGAGAGGGATCCATCTGTTCTAACATCTCACCTTTCATGGTTGCCATGTTTCACACGTGTCCTGTCAGACTTGGCCACATTGGAGCCAGTTTGCAAATTAATTGTTGGGCACAGTGCACGTCTGCCCCCTCACCAACAGCAAGGGTTTATTTTCTTTCACAGGAAAAAAGAAACTGCTCTTGCTCACAACTTCTATTTGCAGGATTTTGAAACCCTCCACCTACTCACCCCTCTGCCACAGCACAGGATTCTCCTCTGCACCCACAGTGTCCCTGGAGCTTTGGGGAGCCTTGGCTCAGCAGATCCCAAGTGCTGAGCTGCAGCCAGCCCTGGGCTGGGAATGCAGGAACACTGGCACCACTGTGCTCCTCAGTTATTTTCTCAAAATACAAATGACCACCTTGTGGTTCACACAGAGCAGTGGGAGGTCACCGTGGTGCTGCTTGGCCTCTGACAGTGCTGCTGTCAGGGCTACGCCCTTTCCATCTCAGATGTGGCTTTTGTGATTGCAACAGACACTGCCTACAACCAGCTAAACAAAGGACAGGGAAGTCACTGGAAGAAACACTCCCCAGAACCAAAGCAGAGCACAGCCAGAAGTCCTTTAAAAGCTTCTGCTTGAACAGAAAAGCCATAAAAACCCCATGGCCTCCTGCCCTGCACAGAACAAGCTGTTCCCACTAGCCTAGGATTACCTTTCCCTTCCATGCCAGAGATGCTTTTTACTCTGCAGCTCCTTACAGATCCACTCCACTGCATGGCTCCATGCAGCCTGCAGAGCCTGCTGAAATACGAGTTTTGGATGATCCCTCTCTGTTCCTGCCTGTTGAAAAAGGTGCCACAGGGCTGGGAGCTTACAGTCCTGCCAGCCAGGCTTCAAGTGCAAAATGCAATTTCTTTATAGAAAGCCAGAACTACAACCAAAACCCAAGCGAGCACACAGCTCCCACAGCAGTCTTAGGCATGAGGGTCCACATTGCAGTTTGCAAAAGGATTTGGAGACCTCAAGTTGTATCAGTTGATCAGTTGAATCCAGTGTCAATCTGCAGGCTGCAACCAGCAGCATGTGCTGGAGCAGCCCAGTTCCCTGGGTGAAGCCTGCTGGCTGCTGGTGTTGGGTGGGATCCTGAAAGTCCCCTGAGTGCCATGGGAATCATAGCTGGCATCTAGTAGTTATTTTCACTATGAACCATCAGAGCTGGCATCAGCCAAAGGCTTTAGGGCCATTCCTGTGCAGTGCCATAAACCAGGAATTTTAAACACCCCATAAAGAGGTCAGCCCAGAATAATGGCAGAGCAGAGGGAAACTATCCCAGGCTGGATACAGACTTCTAGGGCCAGTGGGAGAGCAGGTCTTATCATAACTATCAAAAATGCACAGGCCAGCCAAGTGGAAAACTGTGGGAAATGTGGGTGGCCCTGCAACTGTGGCTGGCTGGGTTTTAAATGGTTATGAAAAGGCCAAATCTTAGTCTTTGGGGTTTTTGGTTTTGTTTTTCATGGACTATTTTTCTTCTTTACCTTGGGTTAGACAGTATAGGAGAGACATGGAGCTCCCTGAGGCGAGTCAGGAGAGGGCTGTCAAGATGCCGTCTCTTACAAGGAAAAGCTGAGGGAACTGGGGCTGTTTAGGCTGGAGGAAAGATGACTGAGAGGGGAGCTTACCAATGCCTGTGAGCAGCTGCAGGGAGGGTGTTCTGAGGATGGAGCCAGGCTCTCCCCAGTGGTGCTGAACAGTGGGATGAGGTAACAGGAACACTGGAAGTTCCACCTGGACATGAAGAACTTCACTGCATGGGTGACTGGAACAGGCTGCACTGAGATATTCCCGTGGCCCTGGACACGATCCAGAGCACGGTGCTGAGGGGGCCAGCGGAGCAGGGGTGGAGGGACAGCCTGCAGTGCTGCCTGCCCAGCCCCGAGGGAGCGGAGCAGGGGTGGAGGGACGGCCTGCAGTGCTCCCTGCCCAGCCCCGCTGTCCTCCGTGGCTCTGAGGCAGCACAGCACAAGGTGCATGGAGCGTGCAAACACAACTGAATAATAACCACGGAATATTCAGAGCTGGAAGGGACCCCTGAGGATCCTCAAGCCCAGCTCCTGGCCCTGCACAGGACACCCCAACAATCCCACCCTGTGCCTGAGAGGTGTCCAAATGCTTCTATAACTCAGACAGGCTCGGGGCTGTGAGCACTGCCTGTTCCAGTGCCCGATCACCCTCTGGGTGAAAATCCTTTTCTAATACCCAGCCTACCCCTCCCCTGACACAGATTCAGGCCATTCCCTCAGGTCCTGTCACTGCTCATGGGAGCCAAGAGCTCGGAGCTGCCCCTCGTGAGGAAGCTGTAAGCAGCGCTGAGGTGTCCCCTTGAGCCTCCTCTCCTCCAGGCTGACCAGCTCAAGCGTGCCTCGCCACAAGAGCCCATAAACGCAAAAATCTCTTCGCAAAACGCGGATCCGGCCGAGGCCGGCTCCCAGCGCCGCCCTCCCGTGCGCAGGCGCAGCGCCGTCCGCGCAGGCGCAGCACCCGCCGCGCTCCGCTGCCGCCGCGCGGGGCT